GAGGGAGGGAGGGAGGGAGGGAGGGAGGGAGGGAGAGAGGGAGAGAGAATAGGCAACACAGCCACACAGTTAAAAAAGCTCAGAGCATGCAAAAGAGAACACAGTGAGAAGTCTCCATCCCACCCCTGTCTTCCAGCTACTCGTTCCCCTCCCAGGAGGCAAATAACATTACCAGTAATTTTATGTATATACAAATGTGTGTGTGTGTGGATATATACATGAATTCCTATTCTTTTCCCCCCTTTTTACAAAAGAACTAATTACATCTTGCTTTTTTTGGCACTTCATGTATTTTGGAGGTCACTCCACATCAGCATATCGACAGCTTCCTTGCCATTTTTAAAGCTGCATAATATTTTGTTACGTGGATGTGGCAAATTTTATTTGACCGTTTAGGTTGTTTCCCTGTCTTCTGCAATTATACAGCAATTTCCCAAATGATACGCCTGTATAAGCATCGCTCTGCACAGGCACAAAGTGTTTGTCCACACATGAGGTTCTTAGAAGTGAAGTTGCTGGGTCACAGGGTGTGGGCATTTGTAATCAAGACAGAATTACCAGGTCTGTATGAATTCTGCCAGTTTACACTCCAGTCAGTGCTACAGAAGTGTACCTGTCCTAGTCCTCGCCAGCAGTGGTTTCAAACTTTTTAATGTTTTATATCAGTCACTTCTTAATCTTGGTGGCTGAAAATGTGTTGAAAAGTCTTGTTTGGGGGGTGAGATTTAACTAGCCTAAAAGTAGATGATTTTTACTAAATACTCCATTTTTAAGAGAATCGTCTTAACATAGATTCCTGCTAAAATGGGAATTTTTCAACTAGCCCAAGTGTTCCCTGAGTTAGCTAGAGGAAGATCGGAGGGTACCTGGATCACCAGACCCCAGAGTTCAGCTGGGAGGTGGCCACCACTTTGACTCGAGAGAGATGCAGATAGAGACATGTCAGAGGCACAGGGAGTCCTGTGTTCCATCCTCTCCAAGATCCAGTCCCTGCCTAGGTGCTGAGTTTTATGCCCTAAAAACTGATAATCTTGAAGGTCCTAGTGCTCTTGTTCAGTCATGACCTTCAAATCCTTGGAATGCCTTAGCCTGAGGCTGGTGCTGGACTGTAGGCAGGATGACCTCACAGTGTTAGCAACAGAAGCAGATAACCCCCCACCATTTCAGCATATCCGTTCAGACATGCTGACCTAGGCTCTCAGAACCCAGTCTCTTAAGTCAGAGACATATCATTAGAAATCAGTGGACGACAAAGGAAGCAGCACCTCTCTTCATTACCCCTCCCCCAACACACACACACCATTCTACCTTTCCCAGCGCCAAGTCCCAGGATATAGGCCACTCACCATCTGTGTGTATTTACTTAACGTGTGTGAAGCTGGTGGTGACTGGGAAGGCGTGCCTCCTGTTGAACCGCCACTGGGCGCTGCAAGTTGCTCTTCCTCCAGGAAGGACGAGAGAAAGAGAGATAAAGTGTAGGGTCTCCTGGTCAAGCTGAGTGCAGCAGGACAGCAGTAGAGCAAGGGTGCTGCCCCTGCCTGGGGCCAGGGACCCTATGGGGGTCCTGTTCCCCAACTGCCACTATCAGAAGCTGGGTCTCCTTACAAGTATCTGTGCCTCCAGACTCTACCACCACCCCTAATGGACCCTTTTAGTCTAAAGGTCCCCCTTTTAAAGGTAGAGACTGTGTTTTATTTACTTAATCGCATTATTTACCTTGGTGAAGCATTCTTAGAATTGGCATCTACTGATGAATATATTCATAACTCAATACATCCCAAATCCAGATCTCTTTGGTGTCTAAATCCAAATGTATTCAGCATGACTCACTCTCCCCCATCCCAACAACTTTTTTTTTTTGGAAATTTCTCACACACGCTCCAGGACTACAGGTGAATGAGTGACCTGCACAGGAAGAGGTGAGGGGAGCTGGGTGTCTGCGATTAGACTCAACCCCTGTGGGAGGTTGCAGCAATAGATAGTCCTTGACGAACTTCCAGCAGTTAAGTGGTATTTTGCCCTATTCCATTTTTATCTTGTTTTGAAGGTCTATCAGATATATGCAAAGAGGGCCCCAGAGGAAGTGCACGCCCTGCTAAGGTCCTTTGGCACCGACTACGTGATCCTGGAAGACAGCATCTGCTATGAGCGCAGGCACCGCCGGGGCTGCCGGCTGCGGGACCTGCTGGACATCGCCAACGGACACGTAAGCGTGCCTTCCGCCCCGTGCGGGGCGTCCCCTGGGGAAGAGAGGGTCCAGTGTGAGCCCTAAGGAGTGTAACCACCTTTATACCTTGTAGAATTGCACAATGGATCAAGCATTCACCTCCGTTGCGTTCTGCAGAACCCCTACCTTGGCACGTTACTGACTTGCCACGGGGGCTGGAGGGGCAGGAGAGATGGGAGGGGAGCTCTTGTCCCCACTGTCACACCAAACAGAGCAACTCCGTCTTCAGCTGGTCTGTGTCATGAGGCTCTGCATAGAATTTATTTTTTAAGGTTTTGCTACTAAAGTGAAAAAACCTCAACCTTTTAAACCGCTGCTCCAAAGCGTCATTTTGGCTGATACGAGCGTCCATGAGGGCGGTGCGCCAACCCAGCACCCCACAGCCTGTGTGGTAGAATCTCACTCCTCTCCCTGCCCTCTTGTTGGGTGTCCCTTTTCATCCACTGGCACACTTCCACAAAGACGGCTTTCTATGGCCGAGCTTACATTCCTGAGCAGGAAAACAAGCTACTTCTCTTTTCTTCCTTCTGAGGAAAATGTTTTCGGAGATATGCCAGGTCTCAGGTAGAGAAAACATAAGATTTTCACCCTTTAGAGGTGGTGTGTGCTGTAATTATTGGTATAAAAGCTGATAGATATTTCTAAAATGAGTGGGGGGAAAAAGTGATAAACCTAGCCTACATCTGAAAAAAATAAATAAATAAAACCTTGGCTGTACAGAATTTGAGATTCAGAACACTTAAGATCTACTCTCTTAGCAAATTTCAAGTGCAGAGTACAGTATTATTAACCCTAGTCACCATGCTATACATTAGGTCACCAGAGACTTACTCATTTCATAACGGCAAGTTTATACCCTTTGACCAACAAGAATGTATTGGTTAACTTGATTGTAGTAATCATTTCACCATGTATATGTATATCAAATCATCAGATTGTATACCTTAAATATATACAATTTTATATGTCAATTATGCTTCAATAAGGCTGAGGCAAAGAAAATGAGATTTGATTTTTGCTCAAGGAAAAATAACTGTCCGTAACTATCTTGAATTCAGAGGAGGTACAGACCAAATACATTTAAATTTTGCTTTGTGTGTAACTTTTTCTAACTAGGCCATCTAATGAGTTGCAGAACTTTCTCTGGTCATAGTAATTCTTCTCTGTGTTTCATTTTTTGAGAGGGAATGGTGCAGTATGTTCCTCAGGGCAAGGAGATCCAAGTTCTGCTTCTAGCTTTGCCATTAAAGGTGAACACTGTTTGACACCGAACTCTGCTCTTCAGCCTTGGGTCACACTTCCAAAGGGGAAAGGGGTGGACCAGATGGTCTCCAAGCAGCCATTGACATTCGTTCAGTTTTTCACTAGCCTGTCATTCTTAAAGAAACCCAATCCCTGTTCCTACTTCTGTTTGTCTTTTGTAAATACGATTTTTTTCCAAATTGTATTGGTTTTGTTTTGGCTTTAGATGATGGATGGCCCAGGAAAGAATGATCCAGATTTGAAACTTGCAGGCCACCCTCGCTTTTGCGAAGAGATAAAAAGAAACCTGCCCCCCTACACAGCATACTTCACTCGAGTGTTTCAGAACAAAACATTCCACGTTTACAAGCTATCCAGAAACAAGTAACAGAGCTTTCTATTTAATCTCTATTTTTGATATGTGAAACTCCATCATAATGAAACTCCATAGATAATGTTTCAGATGTAATTAGGTAACCGGTACCTTAAAGCTGTGATATGATTAAGTCTACAAATGTTTACACAAGCGTTACCATCTTTGAAAGTATCTTATACATGCTTCAGTCTTTGTCTTGTTTCATTAATGTTCTTTAGCCTAAATGTTTTCAACTTTCTAAAAGTGATCTAGAATTTTGTTGTTGGGGAGAACAGTTAAGTGTTCCATAGGTGGCCTGAACAGCTGCATATCATATTGGAAATCTAGAGCCTGTTTCAAGATTTGAAATACTTCTAATTTTTAATTGACTTACAACAGCTATAGTTGAATTGAATTGAGGGGATACATAATTAAATTATTTTTTCACTAGTGAAGACCAACTGGTGGCTTTTTAAAAAGCTCTCTATTGTCCTGTTTCACCTAAAAATTTTATAATGTTTTTAATTTGTCATGCTTTTAATATTTTTTAAAAAATCATGTTAAGTCTTCATATGTGTATCTAAAATTTCTAAAATTTTTTGTTGTGCTCCATCTGAAATGTAATGTGTAGCACTTCAGTAGTATGTGTCAGTGTGTGTATGTGTGTACACAGGCATGTGCATGAATGTTTTAATGCTGGACACAGAAAAGTGTTACAAGTTCCCCATTGTAAGTCCTTAAAGCAGCAGAAATGTTATGTAGCTGAGTAGAATTTGTTACTGAATAGTGTTACTATTTTAAAACCTGTTGATACTATTTAATCTATCCTGCAAGTAAGAAAATTCTTCTTCATTTCTTACTCATTCAAATTTACTGGGTTTGCAAAATTTTGTAAACTCTTTGTTTTTAGCCTTTGTATTTTTTACAGCCTAGAACCTTGCAAAGTCTTACTATTTTTAAAATGTTGTATCTTAACTAACTCACTGCTATGATATTTTTGGCAGAGAGCATTTTCATACCAAGTTTGATTTGTGATCTCCAATCTTACTGTGAGGGCCCTTGACAGGTGGTTCTTTTTCTTACTCAAAGGTAACCAAGTGCCTCTAAGTCATGCTTATTTGTAAACAACAAAGAGGATTATGTGTACCTTGTACCTGCTCAAAAATTTTTTGATAATTGCTTTTGTAATGAATTTCTAATGATAGGGACATGTAAAAGTTACTGATAAAAGCGTATTGTGTATTTAATTAAATCGAGATGGCTAATGAAATTAACTTTCACCTCTCATGCCAGTTGGAAATGATTTAAATATTTCTCCTTGCAATTGTGTTGAAGTAAATCACTGTAGACATGAAGATGGATATATCACATGTTCACATGATTTTCTATTCAGCTACTACTTATTAAGCAGTATTCAAAAAGAAATTTTACACTATCATGTTGTGTTCAAGGAAGGATACTTGGCTTTTATCAAAACTTATTTAAATAAAAAATTGACAGTAGCTGGGTTATTAAATTATGCAACTGAAACTCCTGAATTATATCTTTCTTATATCCCTTAATAAGGTTGGAGACCACTGCAGTTTAGGATAATACAATAATAAAACATTTTAATCAGTACTGAAACTTTAATTAAGCCAGTAATGATGCATGCCTGTTGCAGCTGACAGCATGGGTCAGTCCATCCTTCAGTGAGTGCCTTACTCTAATTGAAACCAAGCACATGTAAGGTACAACGTGTTAGACTATCTAATTACGTTTTTAAAACCCTCTATTACCTTCTCAGAAATATTTCAATTTATTTTAAATATTCCTGTATTATTAATCTATGCATTTGGGTATCTGGAGTTTCAGTATACAAGAAACATGTACTTAAATTTTTATGCTTATCATCACCACACTGATCGCATACAGTAATCCTTTTTTCACAGTTTAGGTGCCATTTGTTGCCAAAACACTTAGTGTTCAGTCTTTAGTGAAAAATATAAAGTGCCAAAAAATCTTGCAAGACAGAATCCATACACACATTCTTTCCAAAACACTGTGACCATGTATAGTTGACATTTTTATTTCCTGATGACCAAATCTCTTAATGAATCATGTTAAATATTTTTAGTGCTCCTCAGTATTCTCTTTTATGACCTTCTCATTGGAGTACCTGGGAGGAAAGAGAGGAAAAGCGGCTGACCCTGGCTCTCTAAGCTCCCTGCCACACGATCTCAGTGGCTGTGCTAATGTTTGGTAATATCCTCAAATTACGGCTGTATTTTATGGGTAGAAAGACCACTTGATTTTGCTTCAGAGTCAGCATTCAAAAGAACCTCTAAGTACAGTAAGTGCTCTTAATTAACCTTTACTTACGTGACTCACCGGGTCCCTTCACAGTCTCCATCCCTCTTGTAAGCTGACTTGGCCCAGCACCACTGGGGGCTGCTCCCTGGCATTCTCAGGCCTCTGCTCTCTCCTTTGAGTTCTCTGCCTGCGCCAACCTTGTCTGCATGCTCTACTTCCCGCTGTAAATACACGATTCAACATAAACCCCGGAAATTTCGCTCTAAAATGAGAGGGTTATTTCTGCAAAAATTAGCTTGAATGCTTTGGTAAGATTAGATAAAGGTTGCCACTAATAAAAATTACTTTTAAATTAATTGTGGTTGGGAAAATTATAAAATATTGGGAGAACTTAAAATTCAAGAAAATTTCTGAGCTTAGATTGCTTCACAGATTTAATTTTAGTACTCATTTCACCTTAAAAAAAATCTAGACTGATCAGAAGGTATTAAAAAGTACCCAAATCATATTATTGGTATGATTTATGCAAAAATAAAACTGTAATCATTGGACCCTTACGCAAAGGAAAGGCCTCGGCTTTACATCAGAAGATGAGCAAATGAATGTACAATTATACATTTGACGCTATGATTCCCTACTTTAACCAACTTTAACTTCATTAAATGACCAACTACTGATACTGATCACAGTGGCTAATCTACTACTTCTAGAGTTGAAAGGTTCCAGTCGCTTTATTACAGACTTAAAAAATAGGAATTCATTTCAGATATATTAGCCAGGAGCATAATTAGGTGTTATCTAGGCCATTTGTTGTCCACTTAAAGGTGATATTCTTGACCTTTGTGAGATCAACTAAATAAATGTGTGTGTTTGTGTGTGTGTGTGTGTGTGTGTTGGGTTGGTGCTGGTGTTGGCAAGGACATATGTAGATATGTCATCTGGTCTGCATCTTTACAATTAACTAAAAAGGTTTATTCTGATTGCACATGAACCTTGTAACAATTGTAGCTCATCTTTGGCCAAAACTTACCTGAATTAACTAGAAATAGTCCATTTTTAAATTTTCATTTAAACGTTGGAATTAATAGAAAGACAAAATGTTCTCAGATCATATATCTTGGCCAGTATGCTCCGAAATGCTTTATATGTGGCAACCTTTTGGCATAGAAGAGAGTGCTTGTCTGTTCATGGAAAAAAAAACTTTTAAAATGAGAGAGTGGCTTACTTTCTTGTGGCAATTGATTTTCTGTACTTAATACCTATGGGTAAAATCTTACAAAGAGCTTTTATAATTTGTTGTACTGAATTGTATGAAGACTGTGTACTAAATAAAGCTATGTTACACAAGATGAGTGTCTTTCATTTCTTGGAAGGTCAAAAACCAAGGAACTGGGGCTTCCCTGGTGGCGCAGTGGTTGAGAGTCCGCCTGCCGATGCAGGGGACACGGGTTCGTGCCCCGGTCCGGGAAGATCCCACATGCCGCAGAGCGGCTGGGCCCGTGAGCCATGGCCGCTGAGCCTGCGCGTCCGGAGCCTGTGCTCTGCAACAGGAGAGGCCATATGCTAAATAGAGTATAATCACTAAAAGATGGATGTGACAAGGTCTTAATTGTACTTGCTAATGTTGAAGGGGTTTCTTTTTTTCACAACATTTGGTTTGATAGCTGCTTATTTGCTTTACTTGAACCTCAAGCTTATAGTTAAGACTTCTAAAGAAAAGGCTGCTGTCAGCTGAATTTATCCTCAGATAAATGCTGTTGTTTTGACCTTTGGAATTGTTTCTACTTCTTGACTAAACTCTCAATCTTTAGTAACTCAGGAAAATGGGTGGTGGTTCACATTTTTGGTAAGAGTGTATAGATAACAAATATGCTTGATGTTAGGTTGTTCAAAGCAGATATTGAAATTCCAAGCAGAAACGGTCAGGGAGACGGATATACTTCCAAACAGAAGAAAACAGCAGTGGGATCTCAAATATTTGGTACTGCCTCTTTACAAGTATACCATTCAGTGTACTTACACTAAAGCTATTAAGTACAAAGCTATTAAGTACATGTTGCTAGAATGGTCTGACAAATTAAGAATTACAAACAATATAGATAAGTGAGAGATTCGGGATATGAATGAACTGAATGTGTAGTGGTTTGACATGTGACACAGGCACGTGGCAGATGAAATGCTACTTCTCTGCCCCTCATCTCAAACCTTTTCAGTTAATTTTTTTTTTTTTTTTTTTTGCCACGCCACGCAGCACATGGGATCTTAGTTCCCCAACCAGGGATCAAACCCATGCCCCCTGCCGTGGAAGCACAGAGTCTTAACCACTGGACTTCCAGGGAAGTCCCCCTTTTCAGTTAATTTGATATTTAGACATTTGCTTTGTAGGATTGTTCTTCGAAGTGCAGATAACAGAACTATAGTGTAATGTGAAATCAATTTAGTGGGTTGCAACCAACATTTAGTGGTTGAGAGAGAGAGAGGAAAGAGGGAGGAGGGGGAGAGAGAGGTTAAGGGAAGGGAGAGGGTGGACAGCCAATACGGTAAATATAGGTATTGTTTTGTGAAATATTTGTTTCAGTTATACATGTCGTTATTTGTGCTCTGGGGTGCAATGTCAAATGCACTGTGAGTTTATGGTCAGTTTGAAAGCCATGCCTTTATAGCAGGGAGGATTCTGGGAAGATGGCAGTTTGAACTTGGCTCTGTCTTGTCCCCCAATTCCACTGTAGAAGAACCCTTTGAACAATGATGATATTAAAGAATTATCAATTTTAGGTGTGATATAGACACTGTTATTTTCTTAGGTCTTTATCTTTTAGAATATATACTGAAATATTTACAGGTGGAATTATATATGTATAGGGTTCATATCAAAGTCATTTTGTGAGGCATGTAGATGAAACAAGGTTGGCCATGAGTTGATATAAGCTAGTTTGGGATTTTTCATATAGAAAAAAAAAGAAATTATAACTACCAAATCAGGAAACTAGGAAGATTAAAATTTAAAAGAACTGGAATCAATTATCTAGGGAAATAGTAGAATAAACAATCCCTCCCCACCAAAAAACGCTGCATCTTTTAAAAAGATTCATGAAAAAAAAACACCTGGTAAACCTGATTAAGAAAAAGAGCAAAAGAAGACATAATCCACAGATAGGTTAAAAAGAAAACTAAAGCCTGGCCAATACAGAGTATTTTGCAGCAACTGACAGGACTACCATCTTTTTTTTTTTTTTTTTTGGCTGTGTTGGGTCTTCGTCGCTGTGCGCGGCTTTCTCTAGTGGAGGCGAGCGGGGGCTACTCTTCGTTGCGGTGCGCGGGCTTCTCATTGTGGTGGCCACTCTTGTTGCGGAGCACGGGCTCTAGGCACACGGGCTTCAGTAGTTGTGGCTTGTGGGCTCTAGAGCACAGGCTCAGTAGTTGTGGTGCACAGGCTTAGTTGCTCTGTGCATGTAGGATCTTCCCGGACCAGGGCTCGAACCTGTGTCCCCTGCATTGGCAGGCAGATTCTTTTTTTTTTTTTTAATATCTATTGGAGTATAATTGCTTTACATTGGTGTGTTAGTTTCTGCTTTATAACAAAGTGAATCAGCTATACATACACCTATATCCCCATATCTCCTCCCTCTTGCATCTCCCTCCCACCTTCCCTATCTCACCCCTCTAAGTGGACACAAAGCACCGAGCTGATCTCCCTGTGCTATACAGGGCAGGTGGATTCTTAACCATTCTTAACCAGATGAGCTCCATTTTCCCTGTGCCACCAGGGAAATCCAGGACTACCATCTTTGAAAGAAGGGAAGCACACAAGGTGAGTCCCAGTCTTACCCTGGCTTTCTCCCCTTAAAGTCTTTCCCAAACCATGGCACAGGGAAAATGGAGCTCAAGCAGAGAATGACAGTCTTACTGAAAGAAAGAGACTGGAGTTCATGGATGCTCCGATGGCTGAGATTTGGTAGCAGTTGGAAGGGCAGGGTACCAGAGAGGAGGGAATTGCGAAAGAGAAAATCTGAGAAGTCCCTTTGGGTCCTTGGCCAATTCATAACCTGCACATGTATGGCTTAGCAGAGAACATCTAATAAGTAACAGAGCTGAACAGAGATTTCAGAGGTTATATAGTGCTGAGGAGATGCTGGGATTGGGGTCCAGCCAGCATGAAGAGGCCATGGTGAACCCCCCAATAATTTGAGACCCAAGAAAAGCTATACCTTTTCCTAGGAGTAGAGGCTATTATCCTATCTACCTGTCAAAAGCAAATATAAGTCTGCTATGAAGGATGATAACCTTATCCATGGCCTCAAATTATCTCTACAATTCCTTATATACAATGTCTAGCACTCAATCAAAAGTAACTAGGAATAATAAAAAAGCAAGACTGAAACAGAAACTGAAATAGAAACAGAGCCACAGTCTAATTAGATATTGAAGTTTAAAGCATAGACTTTTAAAATAACTGCTTATTATATTCAAGAAATTAAATGACAAGATGGAAAATTTAGGTGAACTGAAAACTATAAAAAAGAACACAATGGAAATACTAGAATCGAAAAATGTAATTAAGTACTCAGTGAAGGGTTAAATAGCAAATCAGACACAGCTGAAGAGAGAATTGATCAACTAGATGGTAGGCTAGAAGAAAATATTCAAGCTAAAACATAAAGGAGAAAAGGATGAACAACGAAAGAGCATGAGACATATATTAGAACATTTCACTTTATCCTGTAAGTGTAACTGAAGCCCCACAAAGAGAAGAAAGGGTATGGGGCTATATGACTTTGGACAATTAGCTATCTGTACTATTAGCTTCAGTTTCCTTTTTTGTAAAATAGAGGTTTGATAATAACCTATATGGTCATTGACCAGATTAAATGACATGACATTTAAACCACTAGGCCT